GAGTATTGCCTTTGTTTTCCAACTGGATCGTCAAACCTGTATTTTGTAAAGGACCAAGATCAAGATTGTTATAAATAGAAGTAGGCATAACATTAATGGAAGCTCCTGAATCTAGCATGCAATATTTGAGTTTAATATCCCCAATGGTACAGGGAATAGAAAAAGTTCATGGATCTTTGCACCTTTGAGGCATGGCTTGAGTGGGAGTGGAGACAATCCGCTCAAGTGTAAGTTTAGGCAGAATGAGGGTTGAAACATTTCTTCTCATATTTACTCTCTCATTTCCCTTCAACCTTCTCTTATGTGTGCATAAGTCTTTCAGAAATTTTACATGCTTGAGAACTTGCTTGATGACATCAAGAAGTGAAATGCTCACTGCCACTTTCCTGAATATGTCCAATATCTCTCTATCTTTATCTCCCTCTTTCTCTTTTCTCTTTCTCAGTATCAACAACAAATTCAAATCAGGATTAGGTGTGGGATCAACAACTTTGTTACTTTTTTCCAAGGTTGGTTCAACACTCTCTCTGAATCTCAATGAAATTGCAGTCACATTAGGGCTTTTCGGATTCACTGTTATTTGAGAAGGTAGTTTATTTCTTCCTTGAGCTTGTTGCATGACATTCCTAGAAGTGGCAAGCTGTCCAATTTGTGTATGCAAATTATGAATACTAGAACATGTTTGTTGCTGAAATTGGAGGTTATGTACAACCATTTGTTTGACAAAGTCCTATAGTGAAGGTCTAGAAGCTGCACAGGTAGTTACTTAAGTGTCATGCGGTGTTGGTAGTGGTAACATCAACTATTGTTGGCTAGGTTGTTGTTGTGTGAATGGATTTCCATACAGAAGGTTTAGATGGTTTTTCCAACTGGGATGGTACTTATTAGTGGATAGATCTGGGACGGGATACTTATACTGGATGTTGCTTTGAGAATTATAAATATTTGTTGCGTACGCTTGAGGAAAATTAGCGACTGGATCATCTTGCAAGATAGGACATGTATCGATAAGGTGTTCAGGAGAAGTGAAAATACCACATAAACTTTCTGATTGAGTTTTAGCTACTGCCAATTGTTTCACCAATGAAGTAAGTTTGTCAATTCTAGTTTCTAAAGCCTTGTTGGAAGAAGAAGATTAAATATCATTCACACCTTTTGTCAAAACTGCAGAGTTATGTCTAGTTGTGAAATGTTAGGAACTAAGAGACATGTTCTCAACCATGGCTCTTGTTGCAGCTGGGATCTTATCAATAAGTGCTCATCCACTAACGGCATCCAGAATATTTATGTCCATAGGTGACAATCCTTCATAGAAATACTAGATAAGTAATTTCTATGAGATTTGGTGATGAGGACAACTCGACACTAATTGTTTTAATCTTTTCTAGTTTTCAACCAACCATTCATTATCAACATGTCTAATACCACGTATTTCTTTTCTTATTTATGCAGCTCTAGAGGCGGGAAAATACTTTTTTAAAAACAACTTTTTCAGGTCGTTCCAGCTTGCAACAGTGTTGAGCTAAAGATAGTATGGTCAATATCTTGCAGCACCTTGAAGCTAGAAATGGAAGGCTCTTAGCTTGATGTGATCTTCTGTTATTCCTTAACGTTTCAAGGGTGTGGAACAAATAACCTGGCATTCTTTTAGATGCTTATGTAGATCCTCACCTGTAAGATCATTAAACCTTGGAAATAAGTGTTATTAAACTAGATTTCAAATCAAAAGGTACAACAACAACATGATATTAAATACACAAAGCATTATAGTTAAGATCTGACGGAACAAGTTCTCTAAAAGTTCTTTGTTCATCCATGTTAAAATTATCATGTTCAGAAAGTTCAAAATTTGAATCAAAATAGTTATGAGAAAATTCATAATCATAATCACTATTGCTAACTAGTACACTAGTATTAGCCTGATTTACTCTATGACGTGCGCGTAAAGTTCTTTCTACCTCGAGATCAAAATCAAACAATTTAGAACAACCAGACCTAGTAGTCAGAACTACTTCAACAATGCAACAACAAATAACAAAATACCAACAATGTCCCTATTGAGAAAAACAAGTCAAAAATAGAAAATGATCAAAATAAAATAAAAAAATTTTGAAATTATCACTAAAATAAAATAAAATCCAAATAAGAATCAATAAAAAAATTGGATTTTTTTCGAAAATATGAAAATGGAAAATAAATTTAAAAAAATAGAAAAATAAGAAATTTAGGATTTTTACGGTGACCAAAATATGGAACTTTGAACTCTGAATTTTTTCTAATAAAATGGCACGTAAAAATTTTGATTCTGAGATGAATTTTCAGAAAAACATGTTTTCATCGCAAGGTCGCAAATTGGCCAAAATAACAAGAACGAAGGGGCCAGAACGCAAAAACGTAACATCTATGACTCTAATATTGGTTAAAATCGACAAGAGTCCCCGACAACATTGCCAATTTGATTCGTTGTTGCACACGGTTCCAAAATAAGTTATTAAGGTGTAGTAAAATGGAAGAGACACTTGAGTCGTATCGCATGAAATCTTGATTGATTTAACCAATCGACTGAAAAAGGGGGAGTTTAGGTTTTCGATTAAGATTGTGATTGAAAGAAATTGATTATGGATATGATTAACGAGCTAATACACTAATTCAGGTTCTGACCCATCACTGATTGTCATAACTCCAATTCCCTAAGTGGATTTGATCCATATTCGATTACAATATCGACTAAACAAGTGTAATTGAAATTATATGATTTATGCTCCTATTTACCGAATTAAGCAAACGATTAAAGATTGGGCAAATTAACATAAAAGCTATGTTAAATGCTATGAAACTTAAGAACATGCATCTATCAAATTAAATCAACATATTTTACGAAACCTTTAATTAAACATGCAAGAAACGCATAATAATATTGAAATAAATTGAAATCAAATTGAAATTATAATTACTTCAAGGTTTGATGGAAACCGTTATCAATAGATTAACTTTTGGAAAATTGTAGTTGTCTAACGTTATTTAGTGTAAACTCTGGATGAATGCCCTAAAGCTGCGAAAATTGTTTAAATAAAACAAAGGAAATCGGGCCCTAATAGCAACCGACCCATAAAACATGAAAATCGGCCTAAAACTATATATTTTCTTAAGTCTGAAATTAAAACGAATTATTTGACTCTTCTGCACTTTGAATTGGCTTCTGACTTTAACATGAAACTTGTATCTTATTCTTTTATCTTTCTAACGTATATTAGAATGCGTCAAACGAAATCTCGTAGCTTAAGTTATGACCTGCTTAGCAAGAAGCTGTAAATAACTGTTTATTCAAAAAATAAGTAACATAATTAAGACGAAAGCATAAATAAACTAAACTTGGGAAACATTCTAAAAACAATAAAATAAAAGCAAAAATTCATAAAAATCCCTTGGCACAAAGAAAATTGTGGTGTATTAAAATACATTGATCGGACTCCTTACGATAAGACACTCAGTCGAATAAAGTGCTTACTCAATAACTCTTCCAACTGGTTCTTCAATTATCTAAGTTCAAGTGGTGATATACGATATGGAGCGACGAAGATTAAAGCTTACCCCGGTATCAGATCAATAGAGAATTCTACTTCTCTTTCTAGAGAAAGAGAAGTGACATCCTCGGGAGAAACTTTTGGAAATTCATAAATTGCGGGAACTTGTGCAACATTCATTCTTTCGCTTGATTCCTTGGTGAGAATCAAGAGAACATACTTTTATTTCTAGAATAAACAATTGACCATGCTGATCTTACCTTCTAAGAGAGTAGTTACTACATCATTAAGAGTGGCTTCATCGGTTGAAATAAAGATTACTTTTTATTTGCAACCGAATTGGCGGAAAGTTAATACATCCCCTTAACAACATCAATCTACTTAAGTGGTAAGCATATGAGGTCACACCATTTGAAAAGAGAACTCACGCCATTCTTATCACTTCAAGAATATCTTGGTAGTCAAATAACACATTCATTTGCTTGCACTATTTGTCGTAATTCTTCGCATCAATGATGAGTAAGTTTGCATAGATTCTTTCATTGGAGACTGAATTCATGTTGCACACTAGGTGTTTGATGGATGGAACCAGAATCTTGATGTCAAATGTTAGAACTTGAAACCACAAGGTTGGTGAAAATAAAGTAATTCAATGTGGACAGTGAGAGAATGAGACAGAGAATTAGAGAGAATATAATTGAGGGTGAAAATATGCATTCAACAAATTGAATTAACTATACAATAATACCTCAAAGGTATATATACAAGTACAATGAATTGAGACACAAGTAATCAACTGAACTAACAGAAAATTTGAAACTAACTGTCTGTAACCGATTACTGCAAATCTGTAATCAATTACAACTATTTCAATAATTAAATTCAACTCAATGGTAACCGGTTACTAAAACGCGGTAACTAATTACACATGTTCTAACATCCAAAAACACCACACCCAATAAACGGTTACTGAAATGCAATAATCGATGACGCCACTTGAATTATTGATTTTTCGCGATTGGAATGTCTTTTGTGGCTATTGTGGCATTTAGAGACAGAAATCGGCTGATGTGATACATTTTAGCCTTTTATTATGTTTTCCATACCAAGGATTTCCTTTAAACAACGAGCAACATGCCTCATGCCTCGTAGTAGGACTTTCATTTCACAATTGACCTCGGAACTGAAGAGGATTGAATGATGAAGCATCATCATTGTGGGCGAGAGTGGAGTGTCCTCGATCGGTATGGACATGTCGGTGGTGGTGGAAGATCAGATCTTCATTAGGATGATGAAGATGTAGTTTGTGTGTCCAAATACTCTTAACAGTTGTCTCTCTCAATCAAATCATCTCAAATATCAATAATTTTATTTGGATCAGCATCACAAGTAAATCATCAAAACAATACAATTTTTGCATATTGAAACTGATGAAAAATGCAATTTCTTGTAGTACAAGCCAATAATCACTCAACTCTATATAGATACTATATTAACACCAATAGGACTCCTTACATTTTGTCTACCATTCTTCCATGTCAAGGCACCAAACACAAAGTTTCCATTACTATTCTTGAAAGGGACAATATCAATCCTAAAAGTTATCTTCTCTCCCGTTTTCGAGAACTTCAATCCCACTGGTGTAACTTTAACATTCACACCAGATGGATTTTCAACACTTGCAACATACACTGCTGGTTCCCGACCATAGTATGTAACGGTCCGATAAACAGATAAACTTCCATTCAAATTTGATACACCAATTGAAGGGTAATTGAAGTTGTAGGAAGGTGTAGGAGTTTTCTGGCATTGAGTAAGTTCACCAGTGATGTTTTTAAGCTGTGATGGACTAGCTCCATTGCTGCAGAGAAAATCGAGAGCATCTTGGGAATCGAAATCATATACTAGTCCAGGATTGAGTGATGCAAGAGGATTAACGTGTCCTGATCCGTAGTCGAACGGAGTTGTTTGAGTTCCATTTGGATCTCTTCCTATGAGGTGGTTTGTGTTATCAATTACTGTTGCTGTAACATCATAACAAAGACATCATGAGTGTTTTTTTTTTCATATTTCAAACACATTTTAATGTTTTTTTGTTTTCGAGACGATAAAAAATCTACCTGTTGTCATTATTGCAGACATTATAGCGGCAGGAGACCAAGTTGGGTGGTAAGATTTGATAATTGCCGCGACCGCGGATATGTGTGGACAAGACATTGATGTTCCTGAAATGATGTTATAGTCGACAGATTGTTGCTCAACCGTGGCTTCAGTAGCCACCGGAGACCATGCTGCCAGAATATTCAGTCCAGGTCCTGTGATATCAGGCTGCAAATTTCGATAAACAAAAGTATTTATATTTAAGATTCATAAGTTGTTTTCAACTTATTTTATAAGCACTTAATTAAATTTTTTATCCAAAGAAGACATAGTCCAATGAGTAAACTTGCCTTGATAATATCTGGTGTTATTATATTTGGCCCCATGGAAGAGAAAGCTGCTACTTCTGGAGCAGGTTTAGTACCAACCACAGTTATTGTTGGATAGATTTTAGCAATGGGGTTCCTAAAAATAGAAAAAAGCATTAGAACCAAAACTTCACTAATCAATCTTGTCACATCATCAAAGTCAGGGTCGTCTTTGAGCATGTGCAAGGCGGACTACTGCACAGAGTCCAAAATTTGTCACCGATAAACCATAACTAATAGGGCCTCGTAAAATGTTTTTCATAGTTAAAGTATAGTTAAATAGGACTTCTATTTATTTTGTTATAGTTAAACTACGACTATTCTATAGAGGGCATCTGAAAAATTGAGACGGCTTTGATCAAAGTGTGACTAACTTCCATATTGTATATTTTTTTTCAAAACTCACATATCTGTGTTTATGTATGCTTGAAGCTCTTCTACAGCATCCTGACCAATAATAGTGCTTGGAATGACAAACTGAAAACCAACTTCTTTGGCATTATGGTCAATAAGTATCATTCCAACACCACCACCTTGCTTTACAATTATCGATTTTTCTTCTCTTTTGTCGGTGAAAGTTTCAATTGTGCAGATAACAATTTTTCCATTGATTAAGGTAGGATCGAGAGTATTGTTCTTGCAGAAGCTGGTAACAAAACAGATCAAAGAATTTGTGTGTCAGGCTTAACTCAATCCTAGAAAGTCGGCTTATAAGTATCACCAATGAAGTTTGTGTCTTATGATATACCTTGCATTTGTTGCTGGAACTCCAGAAGCTGCAGCTGCACTTCCATATATCAAACCATGAAAATGCTCCATTCTTATTGGATTTAGAGAAAAACCCTGAAGGCACATAAACATGTCTTAAAGGATCATGACGCAGCCGCAACCGTAACCGCTATTTAAAATCTTTTGTATTACATATATATTTATAAATAGTTTGTGCTATGAATTTCACCTTCAAAACTTTTGAGTTGCCGAGGTAGATATTTGAACTGAATTCTCTGTCTAACGTGCTAGCAGCGACAGTGAGGATCCAAGGAGCAACGTTGCAAGCCGTTCGAGGAAAAACCGAGTTTCCAGCAGAAGCAGAAACAAGAATTCCCTTTTGAAATGCATGGAATGCTCCGACGCTGACTGCGTCCTCGAAGTAATTTGGCTGCGGAGGATTAGGACCAAGGGAGAGGGAAAGTATGTCAACACCATCATGAATAGCATCATCCATAGCAGAAAGAACATCAGCATCACTGCAAAATCCAAACCAACAGGCCTTGTAGATAGCAAGTCTTGCACTTGGAGCACCGCCTCTAGCGGTTCCTTTGGCAATGCCGAATAAGCTAGCATTAGCAACAATGGATCCTGCAATGATGGAAGCTGTGTGTGTTCCGTGTCCATCGCTGTCTCTAGCTGATCTGAAGAAAACCTTGTCCACAACGCCTTCTAGAGGACCGTTTTCTGCTTCAAAACCTTCTGAATAGAACCGTGCACCAATGATTTTACTGGAATGTACAAACACAAGATAAGATCATGGTGATTCTCAAATTGAGATTTATATGGTGAATTGGAAGAACTATTTTTGGAGAGGGTTGAGTCATGAAATCGACATTCAACTTAAAACTTAGTTGAATATTTATGATTAAACAGACTTGGTGTATCAAACTTAAGAGCTAGTCTATGATGGATTTTGAATTTCAAAATGTGTTCTTACTTGTTGCAATTGGCAAGCGTAAAATTATCGCCGGTAACACACTCGCCCTTGAATTTCTCAGGCACGGAACCTATTCCGTAGTCATTAAAGCTTTCCGATTCCGGCCATACTCCTGAAAACCAATGTGAAGTGAGTCACTTTAATAATCCAAATGAAAGGAAAATGAGAATGCATCAAAGGAAGTAATTACCAGAGTCAATGACACCAACAATGACATCGGATGTAGAGTCTATAGCTATGTGGTTGCTATTGTAGACTATGCCTAATCTAAGAAAATCCCAAGAATGTGTTGTGTGGAGCTTACTCATTTTGCTCTCAAAAACAGACACAACTGAATCATATTCTGAAACATAATCCAAAACATTCATTAGAACATAGAAGATTCTTTCAGACAAAATAAAAAGATAGAAATTACAAAGATATAATACAAAAGTACAATACCTGCAAGCTTATTAGCTTGATCCGACGTAATCATTGCGGAAAAGCCTCGAAAGCTTTTACTATAATGGTGTAGTGCTGTTGCCTTTGCATCACTGAGACCGAGATGCTAAAAGAATTAGTTGATATTTGAAACGTTCACATTCACACACATAAGTCAAGCTTAAAAGAACACAAATAGTGATATGATATGATAAAGGAACATGTCTTATATCTATTGCTATACCTTCCAGTGACTGAAGCTAGTATCTCATGGTTTGCTCTGATGACAGATTCTGTATTAGGGTGTGAATGATCTCCCATGTAAATTATATAATGCTGCATCAAGGAAAATTAACAAGTCAAGTCATGCTATTAGAGTTGTCGGTGCAACATAGATAAAAGTATAGTATTATACATGACCACTTATATGATATGTGCATGCATGCATACACAATAGCATTGAGCAATATATTTGAGAATGGTAGTTACCTTTGGAGTGGATCCATTCACCAAAGTAGTTCCAATAAACAAGAGAAAGGTGAGAGTTAAAATTGTGGTAAACCCCATGATATGCAAAAGGGTTGAGGAGAGAAAGCTAGATGCTGAAATGGTGACTCTTATGGTATGTGATTCTCTCTTTTTATAAGCCAAAACAAACTAACTTACATGTCATAATCTTATTTAAAAAATCAGTTGCCGGCAACAAATGTTTCTGCTTATAACTTAGTGTACATTTGGGATTCTAAAAACAGAAATTTAGAAAAAAAGAAAGGTTATTATAATATAAATATCAAGACAGATATATGTTTAGCAGCATTTGGAAGAAGAATAACAAACCACAATTATTGGATTCGGACTTGCACCATTCATAAGTATATTGCTAACTGATATGACTTAACAGCAGAAAATTATGTTTGGGAAAATAAATTACACATGCTTAGAGACCAAAAGCTATAGGACAAAAAGGTTTTGAATAATTTGCATGCATTTGTAAGAGATATTTTAATTGTAATTACAAATTAATCTAGTTAAGGACAGATCCTTCCTCAAAACTCAATCAAGTTCGAATATTGATTGAAACAATCATTGATCATATTTTACTTATCTTTTGCCAAACGGCACGTTATAATGAAACTAGTTTATCAGTGTTGTCAGTAACTTAAATTATAACAGCTGAAAAATCTTGCCCATTTTTAACTCTCGTACTCAAAGTTTAAACTAAGCCAATATTTAAGTTTTTGAGATATCTACCTTTAATTTGGCCAAAAAAAGAAATTTCCATTTAATATACAGGCCAACGTAAGCAACCAACATGACATACAAATTATTTTTCTGATTATTTCAGATTCTGTTTTTTTATACACAATTTAGAAGTAAAATCAGTATCCACTTCAGTACAAAAGGGGAATTCACATCCACCGTATAAATAAAAAAGATGCATTTCACTTGATCCAATAGCTCGGTAACTTACAACTTGCACAAATTATAACAATATGTTTAAACAAGTGTGGATCTTCGAAATAAAATCCATTATCATTAACCTTCCTCTCCAAACTCCTTGGTGAATCTCTCGTGAACATCGAGGTCAGATTTGCTTACTGTAGGCCTTTGTCTAGCAAGTACTTTGTCAAAATCGGTTCTCGATATAGGTGGAGGAAGGATCTACATAGAAAATTATAACTATTAATCCTCAATTATTATTTTGACTAAGAACTCGGAACTGCCAACAAAATCTGTGTCATCTGAATACCTTTGAAGCAAGTCCCTCTGTGGCAAGATCCTGCATTGTAATTTGTACTGCATTTTGTTGCTTCTGTCCACATGGTATCCACATACCTTCCGGACTCTTAAAGAAAAACATGGCATCTTGGGTTTTACGGACTGGTTCAAATAAAACATCCTTCACCTGTAGAAGAGGTCCAAATACGTTTAACTTGAAACTCATAAAAATAAAATAATAATTGCAACGAAACGTATCATATAGAAGTTAAACTTACGCAGACAGATACATCTGAACCTGAAAACCCCTCTGACTTGCGAGCCAAGTGTTCAAAATCACTTTCAGTCAAATTATGAGGTGTGTCTCCTAGATGCACCTGTTCTTATCAAGCCATGAAGAAAAATGTTACGACTAGTTGTTTGGTTCCAATAAGACCCATCCTTCAATAAAGTGAATAAACATAATCGCAAATATTTCCCTTGCCTTGAACATGTGTTGGCGAGCCTTCAAATCTGGTAGTGGAATGTATATACGCTTATCAAAACGCCGCCTTATTGCCTGCCATTACAAGTTGATCAATCAATCAAAACAGTATTTCATTGACTCAATATGAGAATAAATAAAACAACTATTTTCTTCTTACCTGGTCTAGAGCATATGGTGTATTGGTTGCTGCAAGAACGAGAACTTTCTGATCATTGTGTCCGACCCCCTACAAGGAGAAACAGACAAACTAATTTATTGAACTGGAAATAAAGTTCATCTTAATCTTAATATATAAAGGAAGGTGGTCATAAAGTAACTTTTCCCGCCTCAAAGAGTTGCAACATAGTTATTTGCTTTGCATTTGCCTTTTTTTATACAAGACAATGCTTTGTATTTACTTTGAAACTGTTGTCACATGCTTTATGACATCCTGTCACAATTTAGTAATTTGCTTAGCATTTGTTTCAACAGTTTACCTTTTTATTTTTAAAAATAAAAAAGTATTTATTCCCCCCGAAACTGTTGAATTCCTGCGAAACATTGTCTTTTATGTGTCGCAAAGTAATACTTTTTAATTGCTTCTTTTGAGCTGTTTTATACTTTATGGGGTGCATTTTTGTAGTTTCAGAAATGGCTAGTAATAACCTGAAGTTCCAGAATCCAGACTACAACAATACCATATGGAGCTTGGTTTCACAAAGGCAGGGTGTTTTAACAGTTTTAACAAAATTGTATGTTGGAAATTTCGTCTTAGTTACAGTCCGGTCCGCCCCTACTCGCCTAATTGCGGCATTTGGCTTGCCTTCATTGCAGCTGCTCCAACACTTTTCATTGAGTTGGGTTTGAATGGGTGGATTTAGTCCCACGTTGCTTAGATATATGATCAGTGTAGTGTTTATAAAGTTTGGGGAGCCCTCACCTTCTCACCTTACAAGCTGGTTTTGTGAGATGAGTTAGACCCAACTCACACATTCTAAGATGGGATCAAAGCCTATCCTAGAGCGGTTGTTAGACTCCCCGCATCGTCCATGCTTCATGTTCATTGAATAAATGGGGTGTGTTGGAAATTTCACTTCATTACGGTCCGCCCCTAGTCGCATAATTGCGACAAACCTCACCTTACAAGCCGGTTTTATGAGATGAGTTAAGTCCAACACACACATTCTAAAGAGTATGGAAAAGAAATTAAAGGTATCCAAAAGGAGAAGCAATAACAGAAGACATTAGATGTGGTCATGTGAAGATAACATAAGAGGCAATATGGACAATGGTAAAATACCAAATGAGCTTTGCAGCATAAGACTTATCAAGGATAAGAATAGTTTGACATATAGTGTAAAGGTAGGGGAAGGGAGAAAAAGAGACGATTCTGAATAATGTTCTTAAATTGACATGGTGAGTAGTGACCAATGATGTGATAGAAAATACTAATATAATGGTACTATTTATAGTAAAATATTAAACTAGGTCAAGTACTAGTTGAGTATTACCATCACTGTCACAAGCTCAAGGGCGAGTTTGAAAGAGCTTATTTGGGCTTATCTCTCATGACATAAACACTTGTGTAACTGTTTGGAAAATATCCTAAAAATAGTTGAAGATATGTTCATAAAAATTATTTTTTGAATAAAGAAAGGTACGCAAAGGCATCACAATAGAGCCAGAAATCTCAACTATGTTGGCTCTACCTATCAAATGCAATATACCATAAATTTATTGATAAAATCTGAAAAGAAGAGATATGTTCATAAATTTCTTTCAATTAATTCCCCATCATTGCTCTTCTAAAAATGGAAACAGCCCGTGTGAAGCTTACGTACCTGTCATCCTCTATTTGACTCTAATATATCCATTTGATTCTAATTTATCCACCTTAGAAATTATTTACAGGGAAAACATATGGGAATGCAAATAGCTTATTGAATTTAAGACTTTGTGACATAAGCTCTTATATGGCAAGCGTTAATTATTGAATAAGTGTTTAACTAAACAGTTTATCCAAATACCACCTACAAATTAGGAAAAATGATTAAATCAAGAAGCAAATAGCAAGATTGCTTACTCAATTAAAAAACTAATACATTCCACAATAGAATTCCACATATTTTGCAGCTATCCTACCAATGAAAGGAAACTAAGTCATTGTTTCAGATGTCACTGGATGGCGGTTTAAGGATATTATAGAGATAAAGGCATTTCAAGTGTTGATTGCATTGCACACTCAAATGTAACAAAGCAACACAGACTATTGATAAGATGCAGAAGATGAATAAGCTCAACTAGTGTGGACCACAACTCAACAACTATGAGCCCATATGCAGAGAGACAACAAAATTTGCTTCAGAAATTGTCTAAAATGAAAACTTTGCTTGTCTTCTAAATATTTATACGGCACCGAATACCTCCAGGTCCTTCAAACTTGAAAACCATCTTGACATATGAAAAGGCAAAGCCAATAAAATTTACTTTTGAAAATGAAAGCATAAGACAGCCATTTGCCTAAATGGATTAACTTAATTACTTTCATAAGTAAGAGACCAATTAAGTTTTCAATAGGGGTGAAATTTTTAAAATACTGACACATATATACTTGAGCTTTTTGACTTGTTCAAAATAATGCAAATCAAATGACAACAATAACATCCACGGTTCTTAACAAGATATCCCCATCATAAATTTATTACCTGCATCTGCACCAAAAGTTCAGTTTTAATTCGTCTTGAAGCTTCACTCTCATTGCCTTCTCCACGCGTACCACATAGAGAATCTATTTCATCAACAAATATGATGGAAGGTGCACTTTCGCGGGCCATTTCAAAAAGATTTGAAACCAGCTTTTCACTTTCACCCATCCACTTTGAAACGAGGTCTGATGAAGAAACACTGGTAAAAAAAATTAAAAAGTTCAACATACTGGAAAATATATGTCCACCTATGAACCTCCATTTCTAATTATACAAAAGACCTTTCTTCAGACACTGTCGTTGTCCAGGAAAAGTGGGAACGTTGCATGTTCACATGTGCATGAAATAAATTAAAATCATAAAAAAAAAAACGCAACTGAAACATTTCCCACCAGGGGGATTAGTTTCATGGAAGAAGTGATAGCATAGCACAAACAAATGGCCCATCATAAATCATGTTGAGTGACAAACCATTTTAAAATCATTCATAATGGTGTGATATGTAGTTTTCCTTTCTTACTAAGCATTTTTAAAGTGTTTTCCATTCACACCAAAACTACCTAGGATGAGATCCTCCTGTCCATTTCATAATAGGAGTTAATCCAACTTTCTTTCTAATGCTATCATTCCTAATCCCACCTTATCCAATGTGTCCACTAAGCTACCTTAATATTCTCAATTTCCCGTCTATGCAATATATTGAGCTTAATGTATTGCTGTTGAGTCTTCACCAGAACACTCAATCCCATACAACATCACAATTCACAAATCTTAGTTTTATCTATCCCATTTGAATCCTATAATTCACATATCCATTTATGTCCCATTATTTTGCAATGTACACCCAATATACTTGCACCGTGAAATAAATTGTATGGCTTTCAATTTTCACCTGTCGGCTAGAATTGTTGTGCCTCCTACTAAAATAGCATTGCATAAATTAAACTCTACTAAGATAAAAAGCATGTGCATTATCTAATGGTTGTTGCCATAATTCTAGCTTCCCATTTATTTCTTCTCTCGGTGCTATAACTTACATAATATTGTTTTTAGAAAGCATGCATCATGACACCAACTCTCGGATACCTATGCTTGGCAAGCACTGCAACATAAGAAAAATAAGGGCTAAAAGTTGACCCCCACTCTTGGTAAATCTTATGAATCATTAATTACTTAGATATAAGCAATGCAAACTCCTTTCCTCCATAGAATCTTCCATAATACCAATTTGGCTACTTTGTCATACAATTTTTCCAAATTGATGAAAACCATGAGCGGATCTTTCTAATTCATAGAACATCTCACCATCAATGTACAAAGTAGTCATATATAGCTTCCACAATCAACCTAACCAGCATAAAACTAAACCATTTCTTTTTGTAATTAGGGTCTCCTGTCTTAATATCCACTCAATTACCCTCTGTAATAACTTCAAGCAGTTTAATGCATCAACTTAGTTCCTTCTACTGAATAAAACTTATACACCAAATCATTTTCCTGGACAAGAGCAATCAAGAGATTAAAACTGGAAGGTATAGAATGATATTTTATGGACAGGCTGATTATGGAGAAAAAATTGGAAGTACAATATGGAGCTGAAGAGCGTAAATTTTCCTGCAGACAGGCTGATTGGGGAAAGAAATTCGGAAGGACGGTATTGAAGCAGAGAGCGTAAATTTTTCTCAAACCGAAAGAGAAAATGGACAGAGGGAGAGTGAAACAATAAAAAACATGATTATTAATTTTATCTCAACAGCATTTTATTTGGTAAACAGTCACTCAGAACACCACGAATTAGGACCAGAAAGTCCAGACAAATAATCAATGCTACTTAATAAGTCCATACAAATAATCAATGCTACTTAAAATAATATAATATACAAAATTCACCTGAAAAACGTAGAATCGGCTTCAGTTGCAACAGCCTTAGCCAAGTATGATTTACCTGTTCCAGGTGGTCCATACAGCAAAAACGCTCTCCAAGGTCGTCTTTTACCTGAGATAGACCGTGGAAATTTGGCAGATCATATTAAATACTTATAACAAATAGCCCTTATTCAATTGTTCCTTGTTCAAATTTCAAATATCGATGTATATTCTATTCTAAGAAAATTCTTTCACTGATAACATGTGGTAGAATTTCACGTTCCTGATTTTCCGCCATTTGCCACCAGACAAACATATTTTTGCACCACATATTGACCCTAGAGTGCTTGTTCACCTTACAACCACAGAGCCAAGAGGCTTGGTTGAAGCATGGGATCTTTTACTACTAGTTTTATTTGTATCAAATGTTCAATTGCTCCCTAAAGTTAAGTAAATTGATATAAGCATATGGCATAGTAATTTTGACAAATACTACACTTTAGAGCTTCAACATAATCAAAGTGCCAGAGTGTTCTAATCAAACTCATCTAATTCCAAACATACAGTAAATGCAGCTGATCACGATTCATGACAACCATTAGAAAGGAAACTCACCAGTAAAAAACTGAGGAAACTTCACAGGCAATATAACAGCTTCCTGCAACGACTGTTTAGCACTCTCCAACCCAGCAACATCATTCCACTTAACATTCGGTTTCTCCCTCACAATCGCGGAATTCAACCCCGCCCTAAGCTTCGACTGCTCCGGATCCTCTCCATCTCCCTCGCCATTCTTCGGCTTCGTTTTCGGCCTCGTAGCAACGGCAGCATCCCCATTAGAAGCAGGCCCCGGCCCGCCATCATCGAGAACAGCTCGGATCTCCTCGGCACGACGTAGATACTCAGTAAACTTCTGAGTAATAGCTTCTTTAATTTTGGGATTCTTCTCGTACTTGAGATGCGTTTTGAAATACTCCAACGCGTTCATGTATAGAGGAAACGCTTTTGCGTAGTTTCCAGCGTTGTCTTCTTGTACCGCTTGTTTCACGTATTCGATTGCTTGCTCCTTGAAATTGCTATACATCTTGGTCTTCCTATCGTTGTTATGCTTAACGATGATCGCATATACTGATTGAGAATTGAGAATTGAGAATCGAGAGGTTGTGGAAACCCTAGAGGTGTAAGAACATCGTTTGGGGAAATTGGAAACCCTAGAGTTTTTGTTTGGGGTATGTTTGGAGAGAAATCGCGTTTAGCGTTTGGTTTAAGTGGCTGCGATTCAGGGAAGGTTCTTGTGACCAAAGATGGGAGAAACTTCCACGTTTGAATGTTCAATTTCGCAGATAGTCGGAGATTGTAATAATGTTTGCATTTTGATTTTTTTTTTAATTTGATTATTTAAAGAAAATTAGTAAAGTAGTAATGTTGTCTAAGAAGTATCTCATATCGTTCCGATTTGTATTTCTGAAATTTATGTCAATATTAATATAGTTTATTTTATGAATGATTCTCATATCAAAATAATAAAATATAAAACGTAAAAATATTTTTTAAGATTTGATATATATATATATATATATATATATATATATATATATATATATATATATATATATATATATATATATATATATATATATATATATATCAAGACTATAAAATATATTAAGAGTATTTAGAGTTACACCGAAGTCGATAAACAAAATACAATCTAAAATATATCAAGTATATAAATATAATAATCTACTGCGTATATTGAACTATGAGTCTGCGTCGCCCTCGTCTTTCCACGTTCCTGCGCTGTCTCATATACTACAGAGTCTCAGAGCCATCTCGTAAGAGTCATCCATCAATACATGTATGCCTAATCTTCATGATACGAAAACACCTAGGCAAGACATCATGAGCATGATATGTTCTAGCTTGCTCCTCCTCTAGTATCTCTTGATGAGCTGGTTTAGGTGGGTCTCTTGGAGTATCTTGTACTATATATAGATGTGACACCAGGAAGAACTGATCTGACCTGATCAGAAATGGACCGGCACGGCTGGCTCCGAGCAGAAAGCTTTTTTGAACGAGGTGGGGGGGGGGGGGGGTACCTGCAAGGCACTCCGATGCTGAAGTAAGTAGGAGTACGAGCAGATAATAGCAAGTGTAAGGTTAGAATGATGAATCCCTGACCCTCTGGAAGCAGAGGGTATTTATAGCCCCCAGCGCTGGGCCAAGGTTCCTTCATTGGGCGGGGCAGGTTTGGCCCAATGGAGGAACTGCCAGGTTCTACGTGCGTAGTGGGGACCCGCACGTGGTCCCCTTCCTGGATGTTCTGCGTGAAGTGCGGGCGGACGGAGACGCGGTCTTTTCGGAGTATCGTTGGGGAACAGTGGACTGAGTCTGCCCTAGCTGGGGTGCTCGAGGTAACGTCGAGCTGGACCTCAGAATGTGGTGTTGGACCACCTCATGTCGAGCTGGAGGTGTATCGTCGAGCCAGCGACTGCGCGTCGGGCACGGTCTCACTCTTTGGTCGGCGTGGCCCTTGTAAGTCCATTTGGACTGGGCCTTTGCAATGCTTTTGGGCCTGTCGGGCCCAGTCCAGAACAGGAGCCCCCCAAGTCGTGGTTCCTTTGTAGGGAGCCATGGCTTGAACTCAGGTCGTTTCTTCCTCGAGGTCTCGTGCCCGGGACAGAGGTGTAGGCCCTCGAGGGCCTCCTCGTGCCGTGCTCGGAGACATCTTCCGTGGTGGAGGCCTGGAGGATCCTCACCGGACGCGTCTGTCGAGCATATGAGGTATCTTTTGGGAACTGTGCCGCCACCCTATGGGGATAGGGTCATCATTGCGTTGGGAGCAGCGCGTCGAGGAGAGAGGCTCCGTGGTTGCCCGAGGTGACGTTTGGTATTCCACGTCATCACTATAAATAGGAACCTTGGGCCCCATAACACGTTTCTATTCTCTGTGCTCTCTCTGCTGCTGCTCTTCCAGATTTTTTCCAGTTGCGACTTTCTGTCACAGATTCTTCTACTCCGTAGCCAAATCCTACTTTTTGATTCAAGTAAGTGGTCTATCTTCTTCATTTTCTTGTTAAAATGCATGATTTTTGGCGTTTGTAGATGTTTTAGGGGTTGTGCGCGTGGGATTAGCCCGGTAAACTCATACTTAGCCCGACATATTCATGCCTAGGTCCGGCAAACGCATGTTTGTGGTCGGCATATTCATAGTTTTAGGTGATGAACTTCAGCGCTGCCCGGGATCTTCATGATCCAGGGCGCCTGATTCATGATCGCGCCCGGTATGTTCATGGTCTTGGTCGTGGGCCTCATGGTGTGGCTCGCCATGTTCATACCTTGGGTCGACATGATGGAGAGTGTCTGCGTAGTTGGTTTGAGGAAGAGCACATCGAGTTTTCAGGATGTCGGGGAGACAACCATTCGTGGAAACGGACTGTGTGGTCGTGAATGGGACGTCGTGATTTGTCGAGCGTATGGCTTCGTGCCCAATTGACTGGTTTCCCGTGCTCTGCAGGTAACCATGGCGGACGAGCCGAGTTCCTCCGGGCGCCACGATCGTGAAGAACAAAGCGCCGATGAGTCGGTCAACCTGATTGATACTGTGACCGACCCTTTGCTGGACTGGGTGGGCGTCGAGCCCCGGGGGATCGCGTCGATCTACAGTCGGGGCGACCGAAATCCGTATGCTGTAATCGAAGCGGGCCAGGGCCAGCCTGACTTCCGAAAGAACTTCGTAGTTATGCGCCCGTCTTCCCGTTCAAGGATCTGTTCGGTGTATCCAGAATATAGTTTCGCGATGTACGAGATCGCGTTCAAAGATCTTGGGCTGCGGCTGCCCTTCACTGATTTCCAGGTCGGGGTCCTCACTCACCTGGAGTTGGCCCCGTCCCAGCTACATCCAAACTCACTCGCCTTCATCCGGGCGTTTGAGCTGGCGTGTCGCTATCTGAGGATCGGGGCGACCATACCGCTCTTCTTCCGGATTTTTCATCTGCAGCGCCAGTCCCGAGGAGGGAAACACAGCTGGGTCTCCTTGAAGCAGTCGAGGAGACTCTTCAAAATGTATATGGACTCCGTACGGGGTTTTAAAGACAAGTGGTACGTTGTGCGGCCAGTTACCACCTCGGCTTTAGGAACCCTGTACGAGGAGGAGGAGGCTCTAAGCGATGAAGACGGGGAGGCGGTTTTGGGCGACGATGGGAGTCCTGTGATGGCACGTACGGCTAAGTTCCATGTGCACTGGCTATCCAGGCACTACGAGCATGGGACTGGTTACTACCACACTGCTGCCGGGGACATGTGCTCGGAGGACGAGGAGGCGTACGCCGCCCTTTGTCGGTTTGTCGATAGCTTCCACCCTGCCCGGTGGGCTACGAGGGAAGGGGACGACATCCTGGACGCAGAGGGTTACCCAACGTTTGAGTCTCGGCCGATCGACACCAAGGCACTCGTGGAGTGCGAGACGTACAGGCAGGCTGCCCGTCTGCTAGGTCGTTTATTGCTTGAATTTCTTTGCTCGTCATTTATCCATGAGTTTGCTCGATACTGACCCAACTTTTATTTTGTGCAGGTTCGATGGCCGGTCGACACGAAAGGCTTCTGAAATTGTCTTGCGATCAGAAGCGAGGCAGGAGGGTCGTGAAGGCCCCACAGGCGACGAGGATGGGCCCGCCACACAGTCCAAGTGCTCCCCAGCCGGTGAGGGTGGACTCGCCGCCAAGCTCGGGGGGCGCATCGGATGGGACCCCAGAAGTTGAAGAGATCGACCCTAGTGCCGTCCTGATGCAGAGGAAGAGGACCCGTGTGGAAAGTGGTCCGACTATTGGCGAGGACGCCAGTGCCGTTAGGTCTTTCGCCTTCCCCCCTTGCTTCGAAGAGGCGGGCTTCTTCGAGAGATTCCCTCTGACAGTGGTTGCCGACGAGGCTGCAGCTATAAGAAAGATGAGTAAAGAGGACCGGAAGACGCATCTGGCCGCCAACATGGATGGGCTGGTGAAAATGGCCGAGATGGCTTTGGTGCTTTCCGAGGAAGGAGGGGAGCCTGCCCGTGTCGAAGAACTCGAGCAAGAGAAGGCGGCCCTGACCTCGAGCTCGTGGAAGTTGAAGATCGCTCTGGAAAGCTCCGAGGAGATGTTCCGCGAGCAGACGGCGATGCTCGATGCTGAGAGGGAGATGTTGACCCTGGAGAAGGAGAAGTCGGGGAAGTTGGCCGAGGAGGGGGAGCTTCTCCGGGCAGACAGGGATCGTCTGGGGGCCGAAGTCGGACGCTTGGCCCAGCAGATCGAGGAAATGAACGCTGCCATGCAACCTGCCGAGGACGAGCCCGAGGACATAGTGGCTTTGAAGAGTCGGTTGGAGCTGGTCGCCCATATCCGGCTCCTCGAGGCAGATTGCGTCGGTGCCCTGGAGGATGGGTTCAACTCCACGGTCGGTCAGCTCTCCTTGCTAAATCCTGGTCTGGTTACTGAGGGTATCGGCCACACACATCAGATCGTGGATGGCGTGATTGTTCCTCCGCCCGACTCTCCAAGCGTCGACAATGATGGTTCTGGGGAGACCTGACTAGGATAGCGGGCCTGCGTGCCCTTGACATTTGTATTCTTTGGGCCTGCGTGCCCGTTTGTTGTACGTTATGAACATCGCCGGCCTTCTTGGTCGGTTTATAATTGTTTTATCGCCTTCGGGCATTTTTATCTGAATGCTGTTTTACATTTTGGATGTTTTGCCCTTGTTTGAAATCTTATATATTTGCATGAATTTTTAGCCTAAGTCATGGGCCCGAGGCGTGCCCGTAAGCGGCTGTGATTTTGGCGAGCGAGTCTGCCCTTCTTCCGTTTGTCTATGTGCCCGGCCTTCTTTCGCTGGCCAGAGTCACCTAAGTGTCGTGCTCGAGGGGAGAGACTTCCTTTTGACCCTTTTAGATGGCCTGTCATTCTTGACGATTTGTCGGGCATTTGGAGCGAGGTTGCTCAGTCGGGCGCGAAGCCCGGTCGGGACTATTCGCCCTTGGCGTGAACTGCCCATCGCGAGCTGGGTGTTCTGCCTCATGGGTACAACGACGGTGGGGCTCGGTGTAGCTGT